GCAGCGGATGCTCCGTGCCAGGGCAGCAGCTCCGTGCCCAGGGTACCCCAGCCCTGCCAGCAGTCCCAGCCTGGCTCCACCAGCTCCTCGTGGTTGGCATTCTGTCTGCAGCACCTCGCCTCCTCCCGCTCAGCTTCAGCCGCACTCGCTAATTCCTGCCCGCTCCCGCTGTAATTCCCAGCGGCACTAATGAGCCTCCCAGGCAGGCAGCGCATCTCCCATCCAGCACTAAATTATATTAACCAAGCATATTTAGAATATTCTCAAATTGTTTGTCAAAGCTGCTGCTAAAAGATAAGGAACTGAAATCTCTGAATACAAATGACTCAATGTAGACTAATTCCAGGATATGATCATGATTTACATCAACACAGCCTCGACTCGCATGAGGTCGGATTCAATTTTTCTGAACAAGAGATAAATTGAACCTTTCGTAGGAATAAAAATAAAATGCATTTCAAGGTGATTTTTAAACTTAGTCCGTAAATTATTGGCCTGGAATCTTTATTGTGCATGTTTAACTTGCAGTCATTATGTAAATGCTCGCGTTCTATAAATATTCATTACGCAGCCCCATTATGTAAATCCAGCAAATCTCCCCACTCAGCGTAACAGCGTCGGGCTGCGGGCTGTAATCTCCAAATCTGTATTGTTGAAATGTCACCCGAATAAATTGCAGGTATTACTTATTTTGTTCTGACATTTCCCGGCAAAGCTCAGCATCGATATTTGGGAATGAAGGCAGAATGTTAAAGGATGAAGTTCTGCCGGGGACCCCGCTCCAGCTTCAGCTTCGCCGTGTCCCACCAATGCCTGGGCAAAGCTCTGCACTCAGAAATCTCCCGATAAAGCTTCCTCTTCACCAAAATCCAGGTGCCGTGCACCAAAACCCTTTCCGCTTTGCTTTTGGCAGAAGTTCCCCAAGGGAGCTTCCCCAGGGGAAGGAAGGGGATGCCCAGGAGGCAGGGACAGCACAGGTGAAGGAGGGTCACTTTGGGATGGAATTCTTCCCTGCAAGGCCCTGAGTGCCCAGAGCAGCTGGGGCTGCCCTGGAGCCCTGGCAGTGCCCAGGGCCAGGCTGGACACTGGGGCTGGAGCTCCTGGGGCAGTGGGAGGTGTCCCTGCCCTTGGAACAGAGGAGTGAGATGGGATTTAAGATTACTTCCAACCCAAACCATTCCAGGACTCTGGTTACTTCCAGTTTCATGTTTTCCAGCTCCTCCCTGCTCTCTTTCCTTGTTCTCAGGGTTTTGCATCCATCCCTCCTGGCCAGCAGCTGTCCCGGAGCCTCTGGGCTCACTCACGGGGATTTTGGCCTTTTCTTTTTACCAGGATTTGCAGGGAGGTTTGCTGCTGGCTCCAGTTAAGGACATTCCGTGCCAGGAGCCGCTGCTGGGTGAGGTGACACTGCCCTGCAGCCCGGCCCTCCCAGGGACACTCCTCAGGAAAGGGCCATTGCTATCAGGGCCATTCCAGGAGGTTCAGCATCCCTTCAGGAACAATTAAAGGCATTTCTAGAAACCCTCAGGCCTTCTACAATCCTTTAAAAAATTCCCTTTAAAATACACTTGTCAGGAGAAGAATACTCCAGCTAAGATGGTCAAATAACTGGGGCTTTGTGAAGGAACTGAGGAACAAGAGTGAGATCAAAATCTTAGAGAGATACAAACTAAAACTGCCCAAAAGCATGGCACAGAAATGAGCAGGGTCTTTTCCTTTTTGACAATTCTATGATAAATGGGAAACATTTCTTGCTTTTCAATGAAAGTAGATGAACTCATTAATAACTCGTAGAATGCAATGAAAATGAGAGTTTCAACGCAGGCTGAGCTTATTCCCACAGACACCAGCTATCATTTTTACCTGAGAAGCGTTGCGGTGTGAATGAGCAGTGTGTGGCTCCCAGGAGATATGTCAGAGCCTCAGTGTTCAGAACCAACGTTTCCTCCTCTTTGCAGAGCCAGCCAAGCCCTGGTCACTTATTATACACCAATAATTCATTCACCCCTTGATGGCCAGACACGGCAGTGTCCCCCCTGCCCACAGCACAGTTATTAACAGCCAGTTCAAGGCTTTCAGGCTGGGGAAACACTTCCAGCAAGGCTGTTAAACCCTCAGATGTCTAATTTCCAGCATCTGTGGTGGGGGCTGCTGTGGGAGGCTGTGCTGCAGCAATAATGCACTGAACTCTTTGGGGTTTGTGCTGCGGTGTCTTGTGAGGAACCCAGAGCTGTAAGATGGCCCTGGAGAGGCTGGGAGCAGAGCTGGGAGCAGGGAGCAGCTCCAGGTGAGGGACACCAAACACCCCCTGCCAGGTGGGACAGGAGGGGAGGGCTGGCAGGGGCTGGGATTTTGGGAGCTGGGGAAGCGTCTGTGCCCCGTGTCAGGGGGGGAATAATCAAAATCGTGTTCCTGGGCTGTGAGAATTCCTGATTGATGGGTTCCAGCTGAGACAATTCCTGATGGGTTCCAACAGAGCTGGGTCAGTGTTCCTGGAACAATTCCTGATGGGTTCCAGCTGTTCTTGGCTGTGAGAATTCCTGATGTGTTCCAACAGAGCTGGGTCAGTGTTCTGGAACAATTCCTGATGGGTTCCAGCTGTTCTTGGCTGTGAGAAT